TCTCTCTCTCTCTCTCTCTCTCTCTCTCTCTCTCTCTGCCAAAGTAGAAAAAAATGGCTGAATCACATTGCAAAAACACTGGGACAGGGTCACGCTTACCACTGTGACATGACCTTTTAACATTCAATAAACATTTGGAAACCGAGGAAACTAATTGTTGTAGTTTTGTCAGTAGAATTATTTCCCATTCTTGCTTGATGTACAGCTTCAGCTGTTCCACAGTGCAGGTGCTCCGTCATGTTACCCTAATGTGTTACACATCGTGGTCGACGACCATTTTGTTGGAAATGGTGACCACGAACGAGCGTTCTAACGGACAGATTGTCCCTCGAGGTACATTGTCACCAGGTCCGACTAACACCGATCATGGTGATTCTTTAGGACATGAGCATTTCGATGGTGGAATTCCCGTCTCGTTTCATCTCCCGCGGCGTTTGGAGTCGGCGGTCACAGTGTTGTTCCACAGCCCTCTTGGCCAACTTCCTCGTGTCCTTTGACTGTAAAGTGGAAGCAATCGGCCGCAAAGAAGCTCGAGTCCAGTGGGCCAACCTGTTTCGTACAGCAAGTCCGGGCGGTCCCGCCTTCTCCAGGAAAGGTTACAGAATGACGGCAAAGTCCCACTCGAAGAGCCGCTCGCCTCTGGAGTTTTCTCTGTCAACGTCAAACAACATCCATCGTCGGGGCAAGGGGTACCACATCAATATTTTACAGGGGAAGAGGATGTCGAGGTTGCCCAAATTTTTTCCTCCCAGGGCCACATACTGAAGGATCGAAGGATGGCAAAGCCACTTTTGAATTTGTTTTACTTTACCCCCAAATCAGTCATTGCGTCTTGTCGACATGCGAGTGTTTCTTTGAAAAGCTCCCACCGGAACAGCTTTCTACAAGACAAATAGGTGAGGATTTGGGGAAGATTTTGGGGTGGTCAGAGACCCTTGTAGCCCATCCGGAAATCCAAGTATCTGCCCCTGCACTCAAGAACTGTCCTGACAAAAGCCACCCTGGTACGCAAATCGGCCAACCGAGTTCCCCACCCTTGTGTGAAAGAGGATCGGGAAAAAAAGAGGAGCGGGGTACAAATGGCAGAAGGCACAGGTGAAGAAACTCTCCTGTCACGCCACTGCTTCATTTTCTTGCTGGCTCAAAGTGGGAGGGGCTGCGACCCGGATACTCAAATCCCTTCCGGACGGCAAAAGTCAAAGATGACGTCGCCAGACGTGCTCATCACTAGTGTGCTGGGCTGCCCCAGGGAAAATCAACACTTGGTAAACAACTGAAAATGAGCAGTATGATCCAAAAAGCAAATATTGTCAATGCTTTACTTGATCTGGGTTATGTCGTCCTCTGTTGCTGTAAAACCTGCACACAAATTCAAAATAAAAATAAGACTTTCAACATCCTAGCTGTAATTAATAAGCTTTCACCAAAACTAGTCTTGGCGGCCATTTTGTGTAAATTGAAGTACCGCCATTTTGAGAGTATCATCTTAATTGTCTGTTTAATACTCCATCGATAATGCGAGAAACATAAACAAAAATACAGTACTTTAAACATCTTTGAAGATAAGTACTTACGTGTGGATGTGACGAGTGATGAAAATGAAATGAAAAGTCCAGCTGACAAACAGTGCAAACAATGACAATCACATACTGCTTCTGCTGCGGCTTCGCAAGTGAAAAATGTCCAAGTGTAAAAGTGGGTCATCGGGGGTTTATCTTTAAAGGGGACTTATTAACATGAACTTTTTAGTCTCTGCTGCCATTAGTGCTCTGCTTAGTGATCAATAGGACACTTTTACTGCACAGTTGTCATCCGCTCAAGTCATCGTGTTCAAATGTACGGAAGTGATTGTTTCATACTCAAGCCCAACACTAGTTGAGCAAAAATAGGAATGTTTAAAATGACAACGAAAGCACTTTACCACATGTAGTTAATGGCTTGATTTACATACTGTACAAAAATGTTTTTTTTCCCCAAATGACTCCAATATGCTTCTGTGCGATTTATATATTTTTGAGTTGAACGTTTGAATTGTATAATTAGTGTATTTCAGCAGCAAATAAACAAGGATAATTTGGTACAAATTGATCAAATGTACTTTTTTAGTGTCTTGTTTGTATTTATTCGAGGCTTCGTCATATCACAATTGAAAAAGTCTATTTGGTTCATTTACGTGAATGGATTGTGCTGTGTTCATGTAATTTTTTTAATCGTTTGTTATTTTTCTCACATCAATTTCGATCAACGAGGCGCGTGGTGATGACGTAGTTAACCTGCTCATGTGAGGTGGGCGTCACCCCCCTCCTCCCCAGGTGCTCGTCTGTCAATCGTTTTCTTTTTTTTTTTTTTTTGGTCAGGTCGGTCTTCTCCTGGCTGTAAACAAATGGACATGACAATGCTAGGCGGACAAAACATGCAAAATGTAAACCGGCAGCACCGAGGGGATTCGCTAACATGCCGGCACGCAAGAGACGATTTAATGTCCGCTTCTCACCGGTATGCATTTTCTCTCAAAACGTGCATTTAGCACCTTTTTAAAATCTGTGTAACGTGTAGGCTAGCTAAGCTAGTTTACGTTGGAGGAGTTAGCTTTGCGATATGATGCCTTCGCGTACTGTCGGAGATGTCAACATCCTTCCCACAGTATTAGGTAGAGTCTGCCAAGCTTAAAATGCATCGTCTACCTGGTTAGACGATGCATTTTAAGCTTGTTTCAAATGTTTTGCCACGTATTTTACCCATACAAACAGGTTGATATATTCGGAACAGCTTTCGATTTGCTGCACGGATATACTAATAAGCCTGACAGTGAAATCAAATCAAAAGTGAAATGTTGGACACACGAGGAATGATGCGTTTTTTGTGCATTTGTTCTCAGGCTCGCATCAAAAAGATCATGCAAAAGAATGCAGAGGTGGGAAGGATTGCCATGGCGGTGCCTGTCATCATCTGTATCCTTTTTACAAATTCAAACCTAGACTTGTCATCCTGTACGTTATATTTGCTCGTTTTAACGTCCTTTTGCCAAGTTAAAATTTGATTACAGCTATCTGAAAGGGACAGGTGGAGATCTTGAACTGGACTCATCATTTGGTCGGAAATCAAATGTCAAATTGGAGTTAGATGTCTTCGATTCTGGTGCGGTTCCCTAATTCACGTAGCGTATATCTGCAATGCCCAAGTTGATGCAGTGACAGATGTGAGATGTGTTTGTTTTTTGAAGTTGACAACATTGAAATTCAGACATCTCCAACACAGAACCGGTTTAGTTGCTGAAAGGCTTATCAATGAAAGCGGATGAAAACATGAGGTACCGATTTCCTAAACTGTGGGCCAGCTCGACTTCTTGAGATGTTCCTCAAGTCTCTGCTCACCAAAACCTGTCTGATCACCCAATCCAACCTCAGCGGCATCATGTCTCTCGTGCACGTGTGAGTGCGCATCTCGCCTCTGTCGTTAGGTAGCCGCGGCAACCCGGGAGCACGTCCAAATAACGGCCGCGTTTCCAGAAAGCAGTGCATCGAGTCGGAGAAGCTCTTCCACTTCCTGAAGAACACGACGGCGAGATTCACGTTCCCGAGCGCGCAGAAGGACAACGCCGGTCTGAGCGTGTGGCCGGCTTACTTGTGAGGAGCTTTGGGGAAGACCGTTTTCATTCTTTGGTTGCTTCGCTCGAAAATCGATGTTATTTGCAGGACCAAACGACCCGACGGGCGCGTGCGAAGAAGCGCAGACGTGGGAGAGGTCACGCTGCGGCGAAGCCCCGACTCGCTTGGCAACGACTCCAGCTCCAGTGTAAATAACTCGCGCTCAAATTCATTCATCATATACTGAAAAAAAATGGGCGTGTTGAATTTAATCAGTGTATCATCGACTTGAAAAAATATGGATCTGGATCCAGATGATTTGGTTTTGTGCAAGCACTTGATGAAATAAAATGGAGTCAATTCAACAAAAATCTTTTTCAGTGTAAAACTGCACTTAACTGATTTCAATTGATTAATCTGTGGAGGACTTAAAAAATGGTTGGCTTTCAAGTTTAGACTTTTGTGTTTAATGGCGAGTCACCAAAGTTCACTGCCCACAAGAGAAAAACTCCAATGTGGCGGAGTCGGCTCCAACACAGAAAGCACAAATTAAGAGGTTCAACAGTGCCACCGTGAGGCCGTGGCGTTCACTGCATCACTCCAGGAGTTTCCATTTCTCATTTCGTCCTTCGGGGAGGGGGTGTCGATTTGTAGTTTATGCATTCTGTTGTGTTTTGTGAATGTCTTGAGTTGTCTCCAGGCAGTTTCACCGAGGAGGTGTGCGTTTTTGGAGGATTTGATTTTTAAAGGACTCGCGAATGAACGTCTTTTTCAACCGTCAAACCTTTTTGCGCACGCGGAACAATCCATGTTCGACTCCAGGGTGAATGTGAAGATGTGCTCCAATGGCAATAAATTGGAGAAATTGGTTTGAGTTGACTTTTTTTTTTAATTGTGTGTGGTACATACACACAGACACACACACGTAAAACTGAAGATGCGTTCAAATTAAGACTGTCAGCTGGCCACACCTGCGCATTTTTTGGGAGGGATGGGGGGGGGGGGTTGGTGTCTATTGCAAAGACTGACCAAAACTTGAAGACAAAGTATATGTCATATTTATTGCTGTCATATGGTAACCTTTTGAAAAATGAAATTCATTATATAATTTCTAAATTCATTGTCCAATAAATCAATTCTCGGAATTTTATTGTGGCAAATATCGAAAGCAGACCCCCCCCCGGCCCCCAAGAAAATCCAATATCAGCTGTACCTTAATTTAAATGTGAAAAAATAAATAAATCACAAACGGGCCACGCAGTGATTGGTTTATTCCGATCGTTTGGCATCACATCGGCGGCATGAAAAGGTATAAATAGATGAACCCCGCGGCGGGGGTTGTTCTGTGCAGCGGGAATGTTTCCGTTTGCTACGCTGGCTTCCCAGGTGATGCATTGATGAAAGCTGGGACGTTACACAACTGGATGCGGCCGTGGCTTTGAAGACCAACATGCGCCGGCGCTACGCTCAAAGAAACAAACAAAAATGACTTTTCCAGAGCTGCTCGTTTGCTTCGGTAAACGCAAAGTCCATTCTTTTACTTGTGCAAAGTAGAGGCCAATTTGCTCGAGTGGTTATGGTGAGGTTCTTCTGAACGACAAATATTCAAGAGGGACAAAAGTAAACCAAAAGAATACAAACGGTCCTCGCTGACTTCGCGTCAAGATGTCGCCGATCACGATGAGGAGTCAAAAAGCAAACCGACAAAATTCAAAGGAGGTCTCAGAAGAGTCGCGCCCCGTAGCCAAAAGTCTGTTTGATGGCCTCGAAGTAGAACCTGCGCCAGCCGTCCTTGGTCCGATCCTCGTCGTCGTCCGGAACTCCGCGACAGTCCAGGCGGAGTTCCGTCTCGCTGCTGCGGTCCACCAACGTCAGCGTGACCGTGGCGTAGTGCTCTGCAACGCACGCAAAGCCGTCACACACACACGTGCGCGCGCATTTGCCGCCGAGGCCAGAACAAGCTTTTTGTGGAGGGAAACCCACAAAAGACGTTTGGGTCTGCGCTGAAGCAGGAACCTTTTCGGTTCTTGCCACCTCTTGCAATACATACCACAGGGCCAGTTGTTGTACCTCCACTTCATGACTATTTTCTGATCTCGCACCTACAACCGAGAGGTGAGAAAGTCACTTAAGACGCGACACCTCCAAAACCGGGACAAAAGTTTGGGCTTCTTGCTTACCAAGTCTACGAATTCCCCCAAAACGTTTCCACCCAGCAGTCGAAACCTTCCTCCCTTCTCACCCTCCACCGTGGCCGGAGCGTGTGTGAACGCCTGAATCATCTGCAACGACGGCGACAGCGACACGTTTCATTTGACGGGACGCTTGAAAAGCAGGGGGTGGGAAAGCCTTCTTGATGGGGGCGGGGCCGCATTTTCAAGACTTGTTAAGCCTTTCAACAACTTGTCCTTGAACACAAACGCCCCCCCCCCTTACTCTGAACAGACTTGGGCTTCGTCGCAACTTCCTTCTGCTTTCTCATCGTCAAATCACCGCCTAGTGGGGGCTGCGTGCGTTACACTGCCCCCTGGTGGCCACGACCCGCATGTCAGAAGGTGGCAACATTTTTCTTGGTGATTTTTGGGAGGCTAAAACACGTGAATGGCATTTCCAATGACTGCAATGTAAACGCGCGGGTATATTGAAAAAATAAAAATACGGGGGCGGTCTGTACGTGGCCGTTTGGGCCATACGTTGCCCACCGCTGGCGCAAGAAAAGGCGAAGGTGTTTCTCACCTCCTGGTTGACAAAGACCCTGAAGAGGTCCGCTGGACTGGTGAGGAACGTTTCCGTCAGGCTGAACTTGCACGTGGGAATCTTCACGCCCGTGTTGACCGGCGGCGCTGCTGTGCTGCTCGATGATGAAATCTGACCCCACCCCCCACAAACACACACACAAAGACCAGGGAGTCAGCGTCCGTTCCTGCTGACCCAATACTTGCAGAGACGACGAACGTGGCCAACCTGAGTTTTGTCCGTCTTGGCCTTGGACTGCGAGGAGGACTGAAGCGGCACCATGCCGTTGGCCGTCGGCAAGATCATGCCCTGAGTGAACCCATTCTTGCTTGATGTACAGCTTCAGCTGTTCCACAGTGCAGGTGCTCCGTCATGTTACCCTAATGTGTTACACATCGTGGTCGACGACCATTTTGTTGGAAATGGTGACCACGAACGAGCGTTCTAACGGACAGATTGTCCCTCGAGGTACATTGTCACCAGGTCCGACTAACACCGATCATGGTGATTCTTTAGGACATGAGCATTTCGATGGTGGAATTCCCGTCTCGTTTCATCTCCCGCGGCGTTTGGAGTCGGCGGTCACAGTGTTGTTCCACAGCCCTCTTGGCCAACTTCCTCGTGTCCTTTGACTGTAAAGTGGAAGCAATCGGCCGCAAAGAAGCTCGAGTCCAGTGGGCCAACCTGTTTCGTACAGCAAGTCCGGGCGGTCCCGCCTTCTCCAGGAAAGGTTACAGAATGACGGCAAAGTCCCACTCGAAGAGCCGCTCGCCTCTGGAGTTTTCTCTGTCAACGTCAAACAACATCCATCGTCGGGGCAAGGGGTACCACATCAATATTTTACAGGGGAAGAGGATGTCGAGGTTGCCCAAATTTTTTCCTCCCAGGGCCACATACTGAAGGATCGAAGGATGGCAAAGCCACTTTTGAATTTGTTTTACTTTACCCCCAAATCAGTCATTGCGTCTTGTCGACATGCGAGTGTTTCTTTGAAAAGCTCCCACCGGAACAGCTTTCTACAAGACAAATAGGTGAGGATTTGGGGAAGATTTTGGGGTGGTCAGAGACCCTTGTAGCCCATCCGGAAATCCAAGTATCTGCCCCTGCACTCAAGAACTGTCCTGACAAAAGCCACCCTGGTACGCAAATCGGCCAACCGAGTTCCCCACCCTTGTGTGAAAGAGGATCGGGAAAAAAAGAGGAGCGGGGTACAAATGGCAGAAGGCACAGGTGAAGAAACTCTCCTGTCACGCCACTGCTTCATTTTCTTGCTGGCTCAAAGTGGGAGGGGCTGCGACCCGGATACTCAAATCCCTTCCGGACTGCAAAAGTCAAAGATGACGTCGCCAGACGTGCTCATCACTAGTGTGCTGGGCTGCCCCAGGGAAAATCAACACTTGGTAAACAACTGAAAATGAGCAGTATGATCCAAAAAGCAAATATTGTCAATGCTTTACTTGATCTGGGTTATGTCGTCCTCTGTTGCTGTAAAACCTGCACACAAATTCAAAATAAAAATAAGACTTTCAACATCCTAGCTGTAATTAATAAGCTTTCACCAAAACTAGTCTTGGCGGCCATTTTGTGTAAATTGAAGTACCGCCATTTTGAGAGTATCATCTTAATTGTCTGTTTAATACTCCATCGATAATGCGAGAAACATAAACAAAAATACAGTACTTTAAACATCTTTGAAGATAAGTACTTACGTGTGGATGTGACGAGTGATGAAAATGAAATGAAAAGTCCAGCTGACAAACAGTGCAAACAATGACAATCACATACTGCTTCTGCTGCGGCTTCGCAAGTGAAAAATGTCCAAGTGTAAAAGTGGGTCATCGGGGGTTTATCTTTAAAGGGGACTTATTAACATGAACTTTTTAGTCTCTGCTGCCATTAGTGCTCTGCTTAGTGATCAATAGGACACTTTTACTGCACAGTTGTCATCCGCTCAAGTCATCGTGTTCAAATGTACGGAAGTGATTGTTTCATACTCAAGCCCAACACTAGTTGAGCAAAAATAGGAATGTTTAAAATGACAACGAAAGCACTTTACCACATGTAGTTAATGGCTTGATTTACATACTGTACAAAAATGTTTTTTTTCCCCAAATGACTCCAATATGCTTCTGTGCGATTTATATATTTTTGAGTTGAACGTTTGAATTGTATAATTAGTGTATTTCAGCAGCAAATAAACAAGGATAATTTGGTACAAATTGATCAAATGTACTTTTTTAGTGTCTTGTTTGTATTTATTCGAGGCTTCGTCATATCACAATTGAAAAAGTCTATTTGGTTCATTTACGTGAATGGATTGTGCTGTGTTCATGTAATTTTTTTAATCGTTTGTTATTTTTCTCACATCAATTTCGATCAACGAGGCGCGTGGTGATGACGTAGTTAACCTGCTCATGTGAGGTGGGCGTCACCCCCCTCCTCCCCAGGTGCTCGTCTGTCAATCGTTTTCTTTTTTTTTTTTTTTTGGTCAGGTCGGTCTTCTCCTGGCTGTAAACAAATGGACACGACAATGCTAGGCGGACAAAACATGCAAAATGTAAACCGGCAGCACCGAGGGGATTCGCTAACATGCCGGCACGCAAGAGACGATTTAATGTCCGCTTCTCACCGGTATGCATTTTCTCTCAAAACGTGCATTTAGCACCTTTTTAAAATCTGTGTAACGTGTAGGCTAGCTAAGCTAGTTTACGTTGGAGGAGTTAGCTTTGCGATATGATGCCTTCGCGTACTGTCGGAGATGTCAACATCCTTCCCACAGTATTAGGTAGAGTCTGCCAAGCTTAAAATGCATCGTCTACCTGGTTAGACGATGCATTTTAAGCTTGTTTCAAATGTTTTGCCACGTATTTTACCCATACAAACAGGTTGATATATTCGGAACAGCTTTCGATTTGCTGCACGGATATACTAATAAGCCTGACAGTGAAATCAAATCAAAAGTGAAATGTTGGACACACGAGGAATGATGCGTTTTTTGTGCATTTGTTCTCAGGCTCGCATCAAAAAGATCATGCAAAAGAATGCAGAGGTGGGAAGGATTGCCATGGCGGTGCCTGTCATCATCTGTATCCTTTTTACAAATTCAAACCTAGACTTGTCATCCTGTACGTTATATTTGCTCGTTTTAACGTCCTTTTGCCAAGTTAAAATTTGATTACAGCTATCTGAAAGGGACAGGTGGAGATCTTGAACTGGACTCATCATTTGGTCGGAAATCAAATGTCAAATTGGAGTTAGATGTCTTCGATTCTGGTGCGGTTCCCTAATTCACGTAGCGTATATCTGCAATGCCCAAGTTGATGCAGTGACAGATGTGAGATGTGTTTGTTTTTTGAAGTTGACAACATTGAAATTCAGACATCTCCAACACAGAACCGGTTTAGTTGCTGAAAGGCTTATCAATGAAAGCGGATGAAAACATGAGGTACCGATTTCCTAAACTGTGGGCCAGCTCGACTTCTTGAGATGTTCCTCAAGTCTCTGCTCACCAAAACCTGTCTGATCACCCAATCCAACCTCAGCGGCATCATGTCTCTCGTGCACGTGTGAGTGCGCATCTCGCCTCTGTCGTTAGGTAGCCGCGGCAACCCGGGAGCACGTCCAAATAACGGCCGCGTTTCCAGAAAGCAGTGCATCGAGTCGGAGAAGCTCTTCCACTTCCTGAAGAACACGACGGCGAGATTCACGTTCCCGAGCGCGCAGAAGGACAACGCCGGTCTGAGCGTGTGGCCGGCTTACTTGTGAGGAGCTTTGGGGAAGACCGTTTTCATTCTTTGGTTGCTTCGCTCGAAAATCGATGTTATTTGCAGGACCAAACGACCCGACGGGCGCGTGCGAAGAAGCGCAGACGTGGGAGAGGTCACGCTGCGGCGAAGCCCCGACTCGCTTGGCAACGACTCCAGCTCCAGTGTAAATAACTCGCGCTCAAATTCATTCATCATATACTGAAAAAAAATGGGCGTATTGAATTTAATCAGTGTATCATCGACTTGAAAAAATATGGATCTGGATCCAGATGATTTGGTTTTGTGCAAGCACTTGATGAAATAAAATGGAGTCAATTCAACAAAAATCTTTTTCAGTGTAACACTGCACTTAACTGATTTCAATTGATTAATCTGTGGAGGACTTAAAAAATGGTTGGCTTTCAAGTTTAGACTTTTGTGTTTAATGGCGAGTCACCAAAGTTCACTGCCCACAAGAGAAAAACTCCAATGTGGCGGAGTCGGCTCCAACAGAAAGCACAAATTAGAGGTTCAACAGTGCCACCGTGAGGCCGTGGCGTTCACTGCATCACTCCAGGAGTTTCCATTTCTCATTTCGTCCTTCGGGGAGGGGGTGTCGATTTGTAGTTTATGCATTCTGTTGTGTTTTGTGAATGTCTTGAGTTGTCTCCAGGCAGTTTCACCGAGGAGGTGTGCGTTTTTGGAGGATTTGATTTTTAAAGCACTCGCGAATGAACGTCTTTTTCAACCGTCAAACCTTTTTGCGCACGCGGAACAATCCATGTTCGACTCCAGGGTGAATGTGAAGATGTGCTCCAATGGCAATAAATTGGAGAAATTGGTTTGAGTTGACTTTTTTTTTTAATTGTGTGTGGTACATACACACAGACACACACACGTAAAACTGAAGATGCGTTCAAATTAAGACTGTCAGCTGGCCACACCTGCGCATTTTTTGGGAGGGATGGGGGGGGGGGGGGGGGGGTGGGGTTTGTTGCGA